GGAGCGCGCCGGGCCCGGACCCCACCGGGACAGGCGTCCACCCGCGCTCGGGGGACTGCACCCCGCACCCCGGCCGCGCCCACCGCCCCACCTCTCGCCTGGGCTGCCCTGACGTGGGGGTGAGTGTGGGGTCCCCACCCCTGTCCCAGGGCGGCGCGGGGCTCGGGTTCTCCGCGCCTCCGGGGGCCGTACTTGCCTGGCGGCCTCACGCTGCATCGGGCCACCCAGGCCGGGAGAGCGAGACCCAGGACTCCAGCTGCAGCGATCAGATCCTCTCAGGTGACTGGCCCGGGACCAGAGGCCCAGGCCCCACTGCACCCCTCTAGTCGCGTGGCCTGACCACTGCTGAGTGGCCCCCTGCTCGGCCTCTGCCGGGGAGATGCAGCCAGGCTTGCGGAATGCTGCTCTGGCACGGACACCCGTGGGGGCAGGGGGCTGGCTCTGCTGGCAGGAGGCTGTGAAGGAACGCCGCCAGGCTGAGCAGGCAGCAGGGTGGGGACCGCGGGGCACTGGGCCTGGCGAGGTCTGGGCGGTGGCTGGGCCACCATTGCAGAGGAGGGGCCTCTGTGGGCATCCCCAAACTGACTGCTGCCCATCCTGGGTCACTCCCACGTCGCCCCCATGCTGATATCCCACGTCCCTCCCACACGTGCTCTTGTGTTTACATGCAGGTCCACGTCCAGCTGCAGCACAGTCCCCTGGGTGTGCTGCCCTACTCATGAGTGGGTGACTTGGTTCTAGGTGCCAGAGGAGGAAATGGAGGAGAGACCAGGGTCTTAGGCAGGCGCCATGAAGTAACCTGATGGTCTGGCCCATCAGATTGCAAGGGCCTCCTCCCCCACCCCCACTCTCCGCCAGAATACAGAGGGCCTCGGGACAAGGCTGTCCCAGAGCCAGGGAGAAGATATCTCAGGGGCCAAACCTGAGGCCTCTGGACGCCCTTCGCAGCTGCTGCATACATCCTGCACCTGCATGGGTGCACAGACACCTGGCTCAGTTCCCAGATACCTCGGGCTAAGCCCAGGCCGGAGCAACTGACGCCAGTCCCCTGAGGGTACCTTCTGCCTCTTCCTCCCAGTCCGCTTCCTTATCTGACTCACAGTGGAGCTTAGCACTGGCCCAGGAGGCAGCAAGGGAGGGGCTGCATGCGCACTGGTTGGATAAGGACTCCGAGGCTCAGGTAGGCATCAGCATCAGGAGCAGGGGAAAGGGAGGTGGGGAGAGGGGACCCCTCCACGGGCTGGAAGGAGCCTGGCAGAGAGAGCTGCATAGACACGCCAAAGCTTGACAGCGGGTGTTGCCAGCGCGACTGAGGCAGCGATGCCGGTCCTGTGGTGTGCTGTTGGGGCCATGGCTGCAGCAGTGAAGCTGCAGGAGGGCCTGGAGGTTGGGTGAGAAGGGAGGGGACGGGTGGTGGGGAGTCACTCAGTCTCCCTGAAGGCCTCGGCTGCAGGCTCATTGGCTGGGGAGTCCCAGCGCAGAGCCTGAGCTCTGTGAGCAGCTGTGAGCACCTGGTCACACTGGACGTGGCAGGAAGGAGTGTTTGAAGAGCTGTCTGGTGGACCCAGAGGCCTGCTCAGAGCTGAGGCTTGAACTTGAACATTAACTAGAGCAATGAGGGAGTGGAAGTCTTTCCAGGCAATGACAGCCCCTGCCAAGGCCAGGAGGTGGAGACGGTTTAGCACCTGCAGGAACCGGAGGGGATTTGGTGAGTGGAGTTGCAATTCCTGTGGGACTGGGGCATCTGTTCGGTGGCAGTGAACAGAGGCTGAATTTCTCTCTTGGTCCTGATGAGGAGCATGCAACAGGAGCCTCACTTCAGGGGAGGTCAAGGCAGGCTTGCTGGAGGGAGGGACGGACTTACTGGGGAGACGACCTGTAGGCCAGAGCTGCGTGCCCCAGAGGCGAGTCAGAAGTGTGGAGACGGCTCACCCAGCTAGGGCAGAGTTCAGTGGTCCTTCACAGATTTGGGAGTAGGTCTCAGCAAGGTCAGCAAAGCCATGCCCCTGCCTCTAGAGGACAGCTCATGGGCTTTCTCTCAATTTCCCTGAGTGTCTATCCTCCATGCCTCCTGTCCCCAGGCTTGGCTGGGGAAACCAGATTCAACCCGACTGAAGCTGGAAGGAGCAGCCCAGGCTGTGGGTGAGCATGTGTGTGGGGAAGCAAGGCAGGCTTGAGTCTGCCCAGAGGGCATAGAGCTGTGTGTAGTTGAGCCTGGGGAAGAGGGAGAGCAGAGTGGGCAATGCCAGTCAACATAGGCCATGCAACTCAACTCGCACAGCACGGGGTCGGTGGGGTGGCAGGGAAGTGCAAAGCTACCCACTAGGTGCTGACCCAAGGCCCTGCAGGGCAGGGAAACATGAATCCGCTGGGATGGGGTGGGGTGGGGTAAATGTGGAGGTTGCACCTGAATTCTGCCTCCACTGAGCCCAGCATGAATAGGTTACAGCTGCCCTGGGTTGGGGGCCTCATGCAGACTGGCAGGTTGCCTGGTTCCCTCTCAGCATCAACATCATGGCTTTGCCGTTTCAGGTCTCTCAAAGCTTCTAGGATCCTCCCCTGCCCTGTTGGTTCTGGGACCTCGGGCCTCTCACTAGTGACTGAGCCTGGCCCTACACTTGAACCCTGTGGACTCCTCCACTTCACCTAGAGGCACCACCTCAGGGGCCACCACCTCGGAGCCACTGGTACATGATTTGTTTTCTAAACAGTTAATACACCACAGTTCTAGGAGGGAGGAATCCCTAGCACTGATTTTTCAGGTAAGCCGAATTTTAGAGATCAAGCAAAGTATCCTCTTTCCGGCTACCCAACTGGGAAATGGCAGAGGAGAACTCGAACCCAGGCAGTCTGGTTCTGGCCTGGAGTCCTTAAGGACTGTACCGTAGAATTGCTGCTGAGAAGTCCTCCTGTTTCTTCCAAATGAAATCAAATTAGGCTGGAGGCATTGAGGTCAGTGGGGACTCTTAAGGCTTTCTCTGGGAACCTGGACTGAGAGATTTTAGCTGCTAGAGGTCCTAGGTGACCAGGGGCTGGTGCAGTGCCAGCCTAGTCACCCAACCTGTGGGCCAGGTCCACTGGGAGGCAGACTTTTCTGCAGGCTGGGAAGGGGTGAGCACCCTTGTTGGGTGTCACGTCTGGGCGCGCCACTACCCTTTCAGGGTTTAGGAGCCACAGGAGGCCCAGGAGCAGGGCTCAAGACGCAGAATGTAGGTGTTTATCCTGAGACCTCAGGTCACTGTGTTTGTTCTTTGGGTCTTGCTCTGTTGCCCAAGCTGGGCAGTTGCAGTCATGGCTCACTGCCATCTCCACCTCCTGGGCTCGTGACCCTCCCACCTCAGCCCTCTGCGTAGCTGGGACTATAGCTATACGCCACCATGCCCGGCTACTTTTTTGTTCTGTTTTGCTCTGTTGTCCAGACTGGTCTTCAACTCTTGGCCTCAAATAATCCTGCCTTGGCCTCCCAAAGCACTAGAAATACAAGTGGCCACTCCTTCTTTTACCCTGATGTAGTCATGGCTCTTGGCTGAAGAGACGCAACCGTCTCCAGGCTAGCCTGGTTCTGCAGGCTGTGAGGCTCAGCTGTCTAGGGAGATGGGCTATAGTTCGTAGGTGGTAGGTCTGGGGTCTCCCAAGAGGCAGCAGGCCCACCTGGGGTCTTCTGATTCACAGCGAGGAGGGAGTCAGCAGCAAGGCAGCACTCCCTCTACCTTGTCCTGAAACTTTTTGAGGACAAGACCACTCAAGCCTCCTACCCCTGTGTGTATGTGGCCAGGGCAGGCTCTCCTTGCCTTGCACTTACCCGGCACTGACAAGCTTCCCAGTCTGTCCTGAGGTGAACAGGTGTTCTTTCAGAGTACCCAACTCCTCCTCTGACCCCTCTGGACTCCTGAGAGGCTTTTACAGCATCTAAGAACTTCCCGCTCTCTTCCCAGTCCGTTCCATCATGGGCCTGCAGGCTCTCACCTCACTGTGGGCAGCAGCAGTCAATTCTGTTCCCAAAACCAGTCCCTTCCACCTGGTGAGACGTGGCTCTACATCCTCTCACCTGACCACACTAGTTTGCAATACTCCAAGGCTCAGCATTTGCCTTGAGAAAGTGACCAGAGCCCCTCTTTTTAAGTAGTGATGGGACTTCACCAAGTTGGGACAGGCTGGTCTCAAACTCCTGACCTGAAGTGATCCACCTGCCTCGGCCTCCCAAAGTGCTGAGATTACAGGCGTGAGCCACCATGCCCGGCCACCTCGTGTCTCTTCTAAACAATGATATCCAGTTAGTGTCCACAGTCTCTTGCAAGAGGGGCATTTTCCTTGAATTCTCTTCCCACCTATTTAATAACCAGCTAATGCAGAACAGTCACATTTCCCCCCAATACTGCCCAACTGATCAAGCTTACCACTAACAGAACTTGATCCTGCAGTTTCTTTACATTTTAAAAGAATGCATCCAGATTTGACAAATTTCAGGAGTTGCCCAACTAAGGAGTCCACTGTTAACTCAGTTTAAAAACTGAGTATCTGCAAGTGAGAAGTTTACCTACAATGAAAAGCTATGTTGTATTCACTAAGAAAATTCACATTCCTTTCAGTTCGGAGACAAAAGTTAATTGTACTTCCCCTGCAAATTCTTATGTGTATGCTAAAAATATCACCAGGAGTGTTTTCTCTGGGAGGCGTGGTATGTGCTGTCTGCCTGCCGTGAGGGAGGGAAGGGTAGAGGCTGCAGGCGGCAACTCACAGACGGGATGGGACATATCCCTCCAGAGCAGACATCTTTATGCAGGTCACTTCAGCTGGATGACAACAGTGTAGAGGAAATCCGGAGTTTCCAGGGGAGGAAGACGAACACCATTACTGCTGACCTGTGTAGGCCAGCACCGCTGCCTGGTGTTCTCTCTCTAGCTCCACCTCCTACACCCACCCCTAACACTCAGCTGCCAAGGGAGATGAGGTGTCTTCACTGGCGGGGCCGGCAAAGAGATGAAACAGGCACAGACCTGGACTTAGACTAAGTATATACTTTAATTTCTACAAGGTCCCCTTTCAAGTTTTAGGGAAATTAAACTGAATCGTATACAAATTAGACATTGCTAATATGTACAAAAGTATTTCATAGAGTTTTTGAGCAATACTAGCAATGAACAGGATGGTACAAAAACAGTCCAATAATGCATTTCCTATTAAGAAGCACAATACACAACATAATTCAATTTTATTAAAAAATAACTTCAAAATATACAATAATCCCCTTTAGGAAGAAAAGCTATTTTTGTAGTTCATTCTGTCAGTAAACATACAAGTTGAACGTGGCAGCAGAGGGCTGTCCTTTCCCATGGAGAAAAGAAATGAGGCTTCTAGGGACTATCTTTTCTGGATAAAATTCCACCCACCGCTGAGACGGGCAGTTACTGCCTGTGGCAGGCAGAATTCAAAAATGCCCCTCCCCCTTTCAGTGAGCTACTGTCCGGAGCCCGTGAACATGATGAGACGGCACTCCTGCAATGATGTGCTGTGCACAATCGACCTTAAAACATATCTGTGGGCTTGAGTTAATCACATGCCCCTAAAACAGAGGACGGGACAGAGACATGAAGCATGAGCAAGAGCGGGACGCGAAGGCCGGCTGGAAGCTGGAGGGACCACACGAGGAGGAATGCAGGCAGCCCTGAGGAGGTGAGAGGGACGCCCAGCTGAGCCCGCTAGGAACTGGATTCTGCCAACAGCCTAAATGGGCCCGGAAGCAGACTCTTCCCCGGAGCCTCCATGAAGGAACGCTGTCCTGCCAACCCTCGATTTCAGCCCCGTGAGACCCTGAGCAGAGAATATAGTCACACTGCGCCAGAACCACAAGTTACAGAACTGCTAAATGGGTGGTGCTTTAAACCGCTAAATTTGGGGTGATGTGTCACACAGCAACAGACAAAGGTAACTTTTCTTAACCTAATTAGATCTGGCAGTTTCTGCTTGGGCTCTGAATGCATTTCTTCCTGCTGAGTAGTAGTAACATTGTCCTTTGCAGGCAACCTTTAATATAAATCACACTCTTTTGTATTCAGAATCTAGTATTGTTCGTTTGGCCTAAGTCCTGTTTTCTTATGTACTTCTGTCTACTGACCTGGCAAACAACTGACCACCTTACCCTGTTTTCATACCTTCTTTGGGTGATAATTTTAATACATCCAAGGGCACCCTTCCTCCACCAATGGTTGTCAGCTCCCTCCAACTGAGGGCTCTTTCCCACTTCCCAAATACACCAGACAAGGCCTGTGGTAGGGTGGTGCCAATTTCTACATCAGGTATCCAATATTAATTTCTTCTGCATAACTGGATTAAACTGGCACTAAGGTGATTAAGTACACTTGGGGAACAAATTCAAAGTGAAGTTTAAAAAAAAAAAACACAGACTAGTTTTTACAGGTCAAATTATTTGTGGAGGAACCACCCAAAGCCATGAAAACATGTGATTTATGCCACCCCGTCTATCCCCCTTGCCCTGTCTCTTGCACCTGGGTCGGGTTAAACAAGGCTTCATCGAGTCAGCTGCAGGTCACAGCAACAGGAAGAACGTGCCGGTTGCGACAGGTCAGCTGCCGCTGTAATATCCTGGACGTGAAGGACGTGAAAGCCCTGCAAAAGGTCTCCAGGATGCTGGCGGGCAGATTTTGGTGTTCCTTTTGAGTCCGTTCTTCACTCTTCCAGAGGCACACACACGCAGCAGACCTGAGCGGCCAACATCTCCTGCTGCCAATCCTGTCTGCTCTAGGTACCCCAACCCACACCTGTACTTGAGAGAAGCCCCCCAAATAAAGTGAAGACAGCTCAGAATAAACCATTTTTGGTGCCAGTGATTTTTTTGAATTTCATTTTTCTCTTTTATGCTGTTTTAATATAAGAGTGATGCTTAAAGAGGCACCAAAAGTTACCAAGCACCAAAACATGAAGTGGAATAGAATTGTCTTTATAACCTAGACTTCTGATCGGTATTGATTAAAAAGAATGTAAAATAGTAAATCCTTGGAGACAGTGTAGGTATTTATAGTTAAGGCTGATTGATTCTTCTTAACCTTGCCCACAAGCCTGAAGTAATACAGGCTGTGTGGGATGTATGATGGCCACTTTCCTCATCCTGCGAAATATCAAAGAAGTTAGGAATGAATTAAGAACCCCAGAGCCCCTGCCTTATACTCCTGGCTACTCACAGTATCAGTTCTGGGTGGTTTGTTTTTAGAGCACATATGTACAAGACTTGATGTAATCAGTATATAAATATTTGGCCGCCTTTAACAGTTCTCATTCACAGTTCTATGCTTGGCAGCATATATGCTAAAACCGGAAAAACAGGCAAAACGGATCTGTATTCTAAGGAATACGTGAAATAGAGAAATAGTCTTAAAATAATATTGTAAATTATACTTAGATAAATTTCACGATTTCTTGATTCAAGAAAATGAAGTTCATTTCCATAGTTGGCTACTGTAAAATGTGGCATAAAAATATTTTTAGGAGACCTATCTGTATTTTAAATTCTTCTGCACACATGTAAATGAAGGAGTAACAATTAAGAAGTGTCTATCTTTCAAATTCACCTCTGATATTGAAATAGAACAACAGACTGTTATTAAGTTTCTTAAGTTTTTAAGTTGCCAGATATTTACAAATAAGATATAATTTGTATCCAAAAAAAGGACCTTTCAACTATATCTGCTGCTTTCACTGGGGCTCCGGTGATGAGAGTAACTTCGGTCACTTTCACTGTCAGAGCCGTATGATCTACAACTCCTGTAATAACAAAACAAAATGTACAAAAACCTTGTAACTATAAAACCTGTGAATTCCTCTTACATTTTTTTTTAAATGGGTGGCTTGAAAGCACTATTGATGTTTTCAAGCCGCTCAGACTGACGTGGATCGGTAGGTACTGACTACGGCAACACGGTGGACTTTTCAAAGATGTTTTAAATGACAAGTTGTAGTAATACCAAGATAAAATAAACAAACACCACATCTTAGGAAATTTGTGTGAAATTCATTCATGCAAATGCTGGGACCACCAAAAAGAAAAGAAACCAATGAGCAGAATAGTTTCCCATGTTACCTAAAATGAGTATTGATATTTGAATAGATTACCTGAGAAAGTAATGGGGAAAAGGTGCACAAATAGTTTCATTAAAGAAATGGAAACCTAACCAAAGAGGGGTGCGAGTGGCTCTAGGCATGAACACATTCAGTTATTTTGAAAAACATTCACTGAGAGCCAGGCATTTTGCAAGATGCTGGGAACACACACACACACACACACACACACACACACGAACGAAACCAAGTATAGTTCTCTGGGGTTCAAGGACAGAATAGAATATTGGGCAAGACAAATAATTTAGGGACAAGGAGAGCTGCAGGAGGAACAAGGGCTGTCTTAGAGGCACACGGGAGGGAGCATACCGCAGGACTAGGCATCAGGGAGGGCTGTCCAGGGACAGTGGAGGCCTGCAGGGGAGATGGGAACCGGCCATTTCAAGAAGCAAAAGGGGAGATGGCGAAAAGGGTACGTGTGTCTCCAGGAAGAAGGAAAGGTCCTGGCACTTTTAAGGAGAGAAGCCAGAAAGAATCTGAGCTGCGGTTGATGCTGAGGAGGCTGGACCTGGTAAGCAAGGAAGCGTCCAGATCATACTGATATTTACAAGGATGACTGCAGTTACAATGGATAGGAGAAGGCAAGATCAGAGGCCACCAGAAAGGGACAGTACAAAACTAACAATAAGACCTTCCTAGAAGCCAAAGTACGTTAAACATAGTACATAATACATAAAAAATGTATTTTACTCAATAATTGGCAACATATAAACCTCAATCCTGATGCTGAAGCAAATGACATTATGTTGTTTTTTAAATTAAAAAACAAGGAGAAACTGGCTACTGCTAGCAAGTAGTTCTATTTAAGCAAGTGGCCATGGTGTGGGTGACCTTCTTTCCAAAAGAAAGGTTTGTCCAAGATATGTGGATACATAAAAACCCTTCTTAGACTCAAACACTAACAATAACCAACAAATATTACCTGGCAACTCTTAATATAAAAGCCACTTGCAGTGGCTGCGTGCGGGTTCTTCAGATTTAAGAGGAAGTATTTCTGTCCTTGGAAGGTCACAGCACTTACTCTTCCACTAGCAACCCACCTCCCACATCAGGTGCCCACAGTGGCCTGCAGTGTGCTCACGGAGAGAGACCCACCTGGACCGCCGATTGTAGCTTCTGCCTCGGTGGTAGCTGTCGCTTCTCGGGCTTCTGCTTCGACTCCGGCTCCTGCTGTAGTAACTGTCGTAGGTGTAGGACCTGCTTTAACGGCAATGACACACACTAAATGTTCCCACTCAAATACTCATATGTTCCTGTTTCTTTTTAGGATCTTAGGAGTGTCCTAGCTTAGAACATGGGCACCAGGTGACAGCATAAGAACACAGTTCCAAAACAAGTACTGGAAACATTTAACAATCGCCCCAAATGAGACTTACCATAATTAAAGAGAAAAATATTAATTTCTTTTCTGTATTGAAAACTATCACAACATTAACGAGTTAGTTGGAATCTGGTGGCTCTTTATAGGCAACTATATTCAATAAACACCTGCCATTACAGTTGGACATTGTCATTTCTGACACTGGAGTACAATGGGTCAACACATAAAACTTGTCAAAAAGACCTCATTTAGAAAAGGTGGCCGGGCGCGGTGGCTCAAGCCTGTAATCCCAGCACTGTGGGAGGCCGAGGCGGGTGGATCACGAGGTCAAGAGATCGAGACCATCCTGGTCAACATGGTGAAACCCCGTCTCTACTAAAAATACAAAAAATTAGCTGGGCATGGTGGCGTGTGCCTGTAATCCCAGCTACTCAGGAGGCTGAGGCAGGAGAATTGCCTGAACCCGGGAGGCGGAGGTTGCGGTGAGCCGAGATCGCGCCATTGCACTCCAGCCTGGGAAACAAGAGCAAAACTCCGTCTCAAAAAAAAAAAAAAAAAAAGAAAAGGTACGGTTTCAGGAGACAAATATATGCATTTAGTTATTCAATAAAATACCGCTTTGAACTAAGAGTTTATCAAACAAAACCTTTCAGTTCTGCCCCACTGGTGGTTTCCCAATCTCTGTTCATACCTGGACCGACTGTGGGGATCATATGAGCTGCTCCTGGATCTGCTCCTGCTGGACGTCCTAATATTAATCACATGAAGGACCATCGTCTTATAAATCAGGGCAGGACAAGCTATACCAAACATTTATTATATCTAGACATTTATTTGCCCATCAAGGTGAAAATACAGTGAAATCCCACAGCTGTATTTTTTTTTTTTTTTTTTTTTTCACATCAAAAGCATACTGGATTTTTAAAAAAGCCAATTGGATTTCATAAGATGCAGTTTTATGCAGTTTTTCTCTGAGATGCATATCAAGTCACTAGGTAGGGGGAGAGGTCTGCACAGGTAGGACTTTTGTAAGTAAAGTGACGCAGCAGCAGTAGAAAATACCTCAGAGGCAAAAGAGGGAAAGAAGCTAGCACTAGAAGTCTGGGGCCACCCTTCCCCCAGTACATGCACTTCTTCCTCTTGGTGCCCGCTCTACAATCTTCCTATCCCAATTTCTAACCATGTCAAGAGGTGAATGCAGATGTAAACCTAGGTTAGGGAAGATCTATGTGGGGAGGCAGAGGCAGGAATCAGGGCTTCCTAAATACTTCTACTGCTTCTCTTGCCTCACTCTGCTAAGATTCCAACAGAGGAATAGTCAAGAATTCCACAGCTCTTTCACAGGAAGAAAACAGGCCAGTATTATATTCAGTAATGACGTGATTCTTCTCAACAACTACCCGCCTCTGCCTATGTAGCCTTAAAAAGTGGACACGATGGACACCACACTGCAGGGTGAGATCACAAGCTCACCTGTGACTTTTGTAACTCCGGTAGGAACTGCTCCGGCTTCTGGTTCGGCCTCTGCTATACCATCCTCTGCTCCGACTTCTAGAGTAGCTTCTTGATCTACAATCAAAGCAATTGAAAAAATATGTAATTATGTTAACTCACCATGGTATTAAAATTACTAGTAGGGCAGGAAGGGGAAAACACAACAAGAAGAAAGGCCTCTCACAAACTCGTCACAGTGGACATGACAGTGACAGCTAATGAGGCAATCTCAAAACAACAATGGTTAAAACCAAACAGAATAAAATAAAGAAAAACAAGAAAAGGTTGGCACAAGTATGTTCATAGGAGCCTGATTTATAACACCAGTAACACTGAAAAGAAAGTAAGCCAAATCTCCATCAATGGTAGAATGGGTGAAAACAATTCAGGTAGAGACATATAATGAAATATTCTGAAGTAAGAAAATGAATGAACTACAGCTACATGTAATCAGCAAGGATATATCTCTAGAATACAAGGTTGAATGAAGAAGGCAAATGTAGAACATCTACATATATAAAAGGATTTTATTTATAAAAGGTGCAAACATAACATTGTATAAAGATAGAAACATCTGGGGTAAAACTATAAAGAAGGCAATATTATAACCAAAGTTTAGAATAACGGTTAACTCTGGGACAGGAGCACAGCTAGGATGGCTCTGGTGCGTCAAAGCTCTGTTCTTTAAGCTGGATGGCAGGTACATGAGTATGTATTATATGGCTTTTTATCCTTCAATCATTTTTTTATTCTTTACATCTCTTTAATACTCAGTAAAACAAGCAGAAACGTAAGCAGTACAATTCTGCCCCTCTGCATTCACTTGGCTCCCCACCCTTCTCCCCTCCTTTAAGCCTGTCATTCAAGAACAGAACAATACCTCTATGTATAGGTGACATTATGTAATATCACCACAGGTTTTATTCAGTATGCAGTTATGTTTTGGAAGACATGACCTGCTTCCAGTTTATCTGCAAGAAAATGAATACATTATGTTCTAATAAGATTGTAGTCATTTATTCAACCAAAAATTATAAAGCCACACCCTGTGAGGTGACTGAATGAGTAAGACGCAGTTCCTGACCTCATGGAGTTCATATCCTAGTGGGGAAGTCAGGCCAGGCAGGTATCCAGAACAGGGAGGCAGGGCAGCACCCAGGCTTATCCATCTCAGTCCACTACCTGTTAGCTGCATAGCCTAGAACAAGTCCCTTAGCCTTTCTATCTATGCCTTGCTGTCTTCATTGCAAAATGAAACACTGCCAAGTCCAAGGCAGAGATGAGAAGGTAAATGAGGAGAGTGGCCAGCATCACCGACAGCTCAGGGCTGTCTCTGTGTAAATGGTAAGGCAGACCATAAGCAGACAGGAAGCGGGCGTCGCTCAACAGGCAACTGCATCTAGCAACAGGAACTAAGAGAGAAAAGGCCACGAGGAAGAAGAGAAGCCTCCGCCAGCAGGATGAACCAGCCGAGTGGGAGAAGGAGAGCCTGCAGAGGGCTCCAGAAATGAGGCTGAACACGCCATGGCACTGGCCATCATAATGCCTGAAAGCTTCATCAGTAAACTAAGGCAGCAAGTGCACAACTGAGGGCAAAAGAGAGTGAGCACAGACAGCCTGTGACGGCCCCTGGCGGCTCCTTGTTTAGGAAGGAGTCTGGGTAGGCAAGCGAAGAAAGACTGATGAATAACCAGAAAGGAAAACAGCGTTACAGATTCGTATGCTACTTTCAGTTCACATGATGAATATCAAGCACAATATAACAAGGGATATGAGTAAGAGACAGGTAAAACCACAACATGTTTACGAGGAAAAGAAAACAATGCAACACAACTGCTTATTAACTTATTACCATCACAGTATTTTTTCCATTTTTAATTCTCATCTGTGTTATCCATTCTATGCTGACAACAAAAGTTATGATGTAATTTATAACGACAAAAACCTTTTCATGAAAGTGCAGAGTGACAAAGATGAGATAAGGATGTTTTAAATTCTTTTGTTGCCTTTCAAACAACAGCAAAAAATCTAAAGATGATCATTTTTACCCCTACTCCCCCACCCCCGCATCTAAACTAAGATGTATGCATGTCTTCGGCAGGTAACCGCCTCTCTGGCCCTCACCTTCCACATGTCTAAACTGAAAGGTTAGAGTAATGATCTGCAAATTCTATATATTCTGCCAATTTAGGATTCCATTCTAAGGCACTGTTCACTGGCAAGAGAGCAGTCTCACACCTTTAAAGATGGAGAACTTACAACCTATCATGGGAACTCATTTCTACTGACAGGGAGCTTTAAATTGACAGTAATAGAGTTTTGTAAACCGAGCCCAAATTTCTCCTCCTGAATTCCCTCTCCCTATGTCCTCAATTCTGAATCACACAAGACTTCTCTTCCTTTCAAGATCTTTGGAAATAGTGTTTCTGTCCCTAATTCTGATATTCTTCCAAGCTAAACAACAAAAGACCCTCTTTGGGAGAAAAAAAAGAGAATACTGCTCACCGATAAGAAGACGTGGAACTTCTCGACCGACTTCTTGAATGACTGTAGGAGACAGACCTTGCTCTGTGTCTCGATTTGGTTTCAGACTTGCTTCGAGATCTACTCGGACTCCTGGACTGGCTGTCACCATCCCGACTGGGCGTCTGCTCATCACTTGAACTCTCCTGATTTCTTGGTCTACGGTTTAAGCGCGCTGTCTTTCTTACTTCATCAAAGAGAGACCCAGGCCGAACTTTATTTTTGCTTTTAATTTCTATTCTCAAGCCTTGTGGTTTCACTTCGGCCACAGTGGTCAACGCCTTAACTCCCACAGCACTGGATGTGGCAGCAGTGGGTGCTGCCAGGTTCCCCACACCTTGCAGGGGCTTCCATTTCTTATCAATGAGGTTGACCTGGCTCTTCTCAGCCACCTCCTTCTTCCCGGAACTTTCTCCAGCACTAGCCAAGCCAGCAGAGCCACTGTCCTGTTTCCCCACTTCACCCAGCACTTTACTTTCAGACACGCTGCTTTCCTGTTTTACTACCACTGCTGCAGGATGTCCTGCTGCCATATCCTGCTTCAGAACGACGTTTGTATCTGGGGTATCAAGGCGTGCGTTTCCCAGAGGGGAAGCCTCCTCTACCTTTGCGGGGGAACTCCTATCAGGAGTACAGATCTCCATGTTGTCATCTGTTTGAAGCACATCTTCTACTCCATTGGGAACACGTTCTTCAACATGCTGAATGCTTTGCGAACAGGCCACATTTTCCTCGGTATTTAAAGCTGTGGGAGAAATGCTGAGTTTATTATCATCTTTAGTAAACTGATCAGGATCTGATGAAAGAGTCGCTGTATTATGTTTACCTGAAAGGCTGCCCTCTTCACGTGATTTCTCTGTTTCTGGAATATTATCTTTTACGGTTTCACTGTTTTCAGAAACCTTTTTCTCTTTTGACTCCTGAGTAACCTGCTTGTCATCAATCTCCTCCTCCTCCTCTTCACCAAATTCTAGTGGAGGCTGCCAGTGAAATGCTTGCTTTCGCTTTGGAGCCTTGTGCTTTTTGTCTTTTTTCCCTTTCAATTTCTCTTTCACTTTTTTGGTGTGTTCTCTTTTAAGATTTTCCTTTGACCCATGTTTGTGCTTTTGTGGCTTTCCTCTACTGCTTTCAGAATTGGAACAAGATCCCTCAGAATCAGAGGTTGATGTGCGCTGTCTGCTTGATTTCCAAGCGCCCTTATCATCAGGCAGTGAGGTATGTGTGGACGACTTTGTTGTGGGTTTGACTTTGATGTGAATTTCACTACCCTCTGATTCGGAATCGGATGTGGCCTCACCTTCCTCCTTGTCAGAGGATGGCTGCGAGTCATTTCTACTGTTTTTAGCTACATCTCGTTCTGAATTTGACTCAGAGTCCCATTTACTCCCAGCATAATTCTTCCTTCTGGGCTTACTGCCATTTCTAAAGTGATCAGAAAGATTCTCTTTCAAAGTTCTTTTTTTTGAATGAGGGCATTCCCGTTCAGGCTTGGATTTCTCTTCACCTCTGTTTTTTTCTTGTTTGTTATGTGTTCTTTCCATTCGGCCCTGCTTCTCTCTTTCTTGGGCTGACTGTGTAGCCCGAACACTTGACTGCTCACTGTCTGAAGAATAGTCTAAAGATGATCTGCTCTCACTATACCTTCTCTGACATGAAGACCTGTCTCTACCTTTCACATATTTACTGTGAAGTGTCTTTTCAGAGCTGCTGCTGTGCCTTTTATGTGAAACGCTGTTTTTTTTCCTACTGGATCTAAGTTTCCTCTTAGCTCGTCTTCCATCATCACTGCTAACAGAAGTATATGAAGATGATCTACTACACTGTGAATGATCACTGTATTTACTTCGTGAATGAGATCTAGATGATGGAGACCTAGACCTTAAATGTGAACTAGCTAGACTACGTGACCTTGTATATGATCTGGAATAAGATCTACTCCTAGAAGATCTGCTCCTTGACCTTGGTGAGCTTTCTGAACTTCTATCACTGTATTTTGAATACGTGCTCTGATCACTTTCTGAATTTTTTTCTCTTTTATGGTAGGATGCTGAGCTACCAGTCTCTTTAATATTTGGTAAACTGTAAGTGCTTTGGATGGGCAGCAAGTGGGTTGTTTTAGCTTTCATTTCCTGAATTCGCTCATAAGAGGGCTTCCAAGGTTTCTGTCCAGGCTTCCATCTTGAAGGGGGGGGACTGTCACTCAGTGGTATTACAGGAATATTTTCTGCTACAACAGGCTGTACTACTACATTTTCATTTTGGGCCATGGTTGCTCTTAAAGGTTCTGTTTTAACTGGTTTATTTTCACTTAACTGAGAAGCTGTTCTTCTTGGTGATTTTGATGCTCTCTTTTGGTGCCCAGACTTGGAACTAGATCTGGATTTCGATCTACTTCGAGAATGTGAGGACTTCGATGCAGTCTTTGATCTTGAGCTTCCTCTAGAGTAGGACCGTGAGTGAGATTTCGATCTGTATGAGTCTCTGCTGGAATGGGTTAAAGAGCTCTGAACATCCTTATCAGATTTAGACCAGTCTCTCTTTGATGAGTGATGAGACGATATTGAGGAAGAACGAGAACTCCTTTCTCTATCACAAGAGGATTTCATTCTTCGAGTGGAAGATTTTGAGGATTCTATGTCAGACAGCGTAAGAATCCTTCTCTTCTTTGTTTGTTTGTGTCTTCTGCAATGTTTCTGCTTTTTCCCTTTCTTTTTATGCTTAACTTTTTTCTCTTTTCTGCGTTTCTTATGGTGGCCATCAGAGTGTCTTGCTGTACTAAGGTCTGAATGATATCCATTATAGGACCATGATCTTGATCTCTGGGACAAGCTTCTTTCATCCCATCGGCTTGAACAGGGGTCACTTAACCTACAGAAAGGACACAATATTCATGCAGTGATTTATAAGCACGTTTTCTATGCCTTAAAACGCAGCTTTGTTAAGCACACACAGGAAGCGTGAATCAAAGAGTTATAGGCCTGGTCTTGTTATACTTTCAGAGACACACACTGAGATCTACTAACGGATTCACTTATGAAAGGATTTTTTTTTTAAGCTAAACAAAGAATCTTACATTTGTTGGGAAAATGTTTTTGAAAATCAAACCAACTAATCACAAGAACACTACTGAACTCAATCACAAGAGTTCCTGGCTGTTACCTGCTAACAACCCTCTGCCTCTAGAAACAATTTTTGAGGGCATGTCAAAACAAGGTCCCAAACAATTTTGTTGATTTTCTAAAAGATGCAGGACAGCTGCTTGAAACCAGCATGAATCTTGTTTTTTCTCCACCTCACAGAAGTAATCCAGATTTCCCCTAAGACTGTAAACTACTTAAAACAGAAACTGAGGACAAAGTACACAAAAACAGATACAAGCTTTACAATCTCAGTGGTAATGTCAAGGCTCAGAATTGAAAGTCCTCAGTACCACTGTGTCTGAGCCACGTTTACACAGCAGATGCATTCCTTCTCCTCCTTTTCCCAATTCCGAACCACTCTGCAGGATGTCCAGAGAGAGAGAGAGAATTCTACCATGAAGAATACACAGCGTCCCATTAGTATATTTTTCACTAGCTATTCTGGGGCCTGTCCCCTTCCTAAAATAAATATTCCCCTGTGGGACATAACTGAAGGTACGAGATACGTATACTTCTAAAGCAGCAACAGTCCCTGAGATCAAAAGTCAATGTGCACACTGAGTGCGGGTGTTCCTATCCACCAATGAGTGGGTGTTCCTATCCACCAACGAGCGGGTGTTCCTATCCACCAATGAGCTCAGCGTTGACCTGGCTGGCTAGAAAAGAATCTGCTACATAATTTCTAAGTCCTAATCATTTCTAAAATTGACTAAGAGGTCATTAAAAGATACAGGCTTATAGTTTTTGTTAAGGAAAACAGGATTTTGATTTAAAAGCCCAACTAGTTAAGAGTACTACTTTCACCAAGAAGTCCCAAATGTATTTCCTTTGGTCAGAGTCTAATTCTGACTGTGAATCTTTAACGAAATGTCCAGAATTTTACCGAATCCCTTTAACATTTAAAATAGAACAGACCCAGGATTGTGCTTATACTCAAAGCTCTTACTTATCTCCTTTACTCCATTTTTCTCCACTAGGTGGTCTGTATGCTCGTAATCTCTGCATTTCCTCTTTCCAGTGAGGAGGTGTTTCACTGCTGTCATCATCATCTGACTCAGAACAGGATCTTGACCTTGGAGGTGTGTGATAGCGCTTTAAAAACAAAGAGAATACTATTTTTAAAAATGCATCTCAACAGTCTGCTATAGGACAGAGTTAAGTAAAAGATCCAATCTCAGATCATCCCGTCAAAGGCAATGATTCAGGTTGCCAAAAGGGTGGTCTAAAGTTATTTCTTTTTCCTTTTTTTTTCTTTTTAATTTTTATTTTAGGTTCGGGTGAAGTTATTTCAAACGAGGCATTAAAAAAGATGGGCAAGGCTGAGAGATTCACCTGTAATGCACATAAACTTTTCCTCGTCAGTCTTAATGAATACATTCATTAGCCTAGATTATTCAACATGCCAGATTTCTCAGCATACCGACAGTTTTACACGTTCCTCTTTTTAGACTCAATTAAACCCATTCAAACACAGCAGAATAATTTGATCTAACAGCAACATCTTCCCATAATTATGGAAAATAAAATTAGTTCCTTGAATAGATTTTGTATTATATCTAAAATTAAAGCTAGGATTTTGATGATAGGTAAACATTTTTTCCTATTTAGATATATAATTTCAAAAAAAGTCTTATCACACATACAATTGTGCCCCTTCCTTTAATCTTCCGTCCAGACTTTGATACAGATGGTTTCTGATCACTTACAACGGGTGCAACATCAGGAATCTTCCTAGGAAAAGAAGATGGTGATGAAAATTAAAAATAAGCAAAGGGGAAGCATTTTTCTCAATGTTTAAATACAGAATTTATGTCCCTATAATACCAAAACACTTCATTTATCCAACACTTTTGTAGAATGAGACATTCCACATAACCTTATTTTGTAAGCAAACCATTTAAATGACAAAACTTAAAAAAAAAATCAATTGAGTAAAAATACATGATACTGATACTAGTAGCTCTCCTTTTAAGCACAGTACTATCTTTTTTTTTTTTTTTTTTTTTTTTGAGACACAGCCTTGCTCTGTCGCCAGGCTGGAGTGCAGTGGTGCAATCTCTGCTCACTGCAACCTCCAACTTCCTGGTTCAAGCGATTCTCCTGCCTCAGCCTCCCAAGTAGCTGGGATTACAGGCACGTGCCACCACGCCCAGCTAATTTTCGTATTTTCAGTAGAGATGGGTTTTACCATGTTGGTCAGGGTGGTCTAGATCTCCTGACCTTGTGATCTGCCCACGTTGGCCTCCCAAAGTGCTGGGATTACAGGCATGAGCCACCGCGTCCAGCACCATCTTTAAAGAAAATCCTTTTGTCTCTCCTACTCTAAGCTACCCCTTCATCTTAAATGCTTTGAATCTACTGCCTTATTACATGATATATACTATCAAAGTATAGTTTCTGTGACGCCTACAGTCTTCCATGCATGAGGTCTTTTCACACCTCAATTTATTTTGTGTCTGTTACTATTAACATAATGGCTAGTTTCTATTGGGCAATTACTGTGTCTGGCATTGTATTAATAAGCATTTAAAAAATACTTTTTAAGAGATATCTATATATACACATTCGCACACATGTATATATATACATACATAACATAAAATTTGTCATTTATAGCATTCTAAATGTACAGTTCAGTGGCATTAGTTACATTGACAATGCTGTGCAAGTATCACCGTCTTTTCAAAGCTTTTTCATCACCCCAAACAGAAACTCTACTCATTAAACACTAACTCCCCATTCCCTGCTCTCACCAGCAGCCCCTGAAAACCTCTATTCTGCTTTCCATTTCTATGAATTTGACGATTCTAGGAACCAAGTATCATATGGTTCCATTTATATGAGGAATATTCAACACTTTGGGTATTTGTCTTTTTTGTGACTGGCTAATTTCAAGAAAGAGAACAAATTTCCAAAAATATTCTGTTGACGAAACTCAAAACACTATAAGAACAGCTGAGTATCATTTTTTGTAATAAAGGTCTACTAATGAGGAGAATGCAATTCATTTTTGGGAGGTGGAATAACTTTGCTTAATTAGGGCTCAAAGTTAGTATTCTCTATTAAAACAACTAATGTTAAAAATTGGCTGGGGGTGGTGGCGAGGCACCTGTAGTACTAGCTACTCAGGAGGATAAGGCAGGAGGATCACTTGAGCCCAGGAGGTTGAGGCTACAGTGAGCCATGATCTTGCCACTGCCCTCTAGTCTGGGCGACAGAGCAACAGAGCAAGTCCCTGTCTCAAAAAAACCAGAAAATACAAAAAACTCCCAGATAATGTTAATGCTCTTCCTCAATGCTCATCTGTAATGAGATTTTATGGATTTCATCTTTAAAAAGATCTCTTTACACAGATGGTTGATACGTGTAGCGGCTGAAATTCTGGTGAGTTACAGCTTTATCACTGTGATTTGTGATTACGTACCTCCTAGCACGTAAAGGCGTGAGAGCACTACATACAAACTCTGTTGCAGCAGAACAAATGTAAACAAATGAATGAGGTCGTGTTTCAATGAAACTTTATTTTTAGATAAACTTTATTTTTAGATAGAATTTCACATAATTTTCATGTCACAAAATATTCCTTTTTTGATTTCCACTAAAGAAACATTTAAACACATCAAAAACACATTTAACTCATGGACTGTACAGAAACAACCAGGAGGCCAAATCTGGTCCATGAGTCATAGACTGCTGACGCCGATCACGTAACAATGAAGTTGACCTTTCAAGTTTCCTACCTTCTGAAAGCCAAATGGATTTGACCAATGAACTTGGTGACTTATAAGGAAGAAAAGTTCTACTATAAAGTCTGTTCACAAGCTAGAATTTTTAATAATGAAAACATAATATGTTAAGCTACTAATTCAAAGATACACGCCATTTTGCAACAGCTTTTTGAAACAAGACAGTATCAGGCTTTAAAAAAATTTAATAAACTAAATAACTTTATACAAAGACCTAATTATAAACAAGGACTCATACTTTTCAGCTTTCAAAATAACTCTTCATAGGGTACTTATCAATTATACCAGCCGTTGTGGTATTTCTATTTCTTTTCATGAAACATTTTCTTTTAATAATTCTAAACTTAAATCTAATATACAAAATACATTACTATTTTCTCAGACCAAATCTAAAACTACACGTTCACTTTTCCAGTGCAAAGAAGTAATCGTTGAACAAGTTAACAAAAGTAACTTATGATACTGAATTATATTTCCAATCATCATGCAATTAATTATGTACTATTCAAATTGGAACGCATGCTTCGTCACTCAAATGGATCCAAAAAATTCATCTAACTCTCAATTCTGATAACTACAATCTCACCCCTCTAATGAAAGGCAAAGGCAGGAAGATTAGGAATGAAATCTTCCCAGATCACCAATAAGAGCTTCCCTGACCAACTTGCCCAACCTCCTCTCCCTACTAGAATGTGAATTCTGAAAGGTAGTGTACATAACAGTCATTAATCTGGTATCTCCCATATTTCCTACTTATCATTCATTAATCTGATAGTCCCACAGTATCTTTCAGTGTGCTTCAAACATGAGTCATGTTCCATACATGAGTGTAGAACTGCAGTGAGCTGATGGAATTGTCTCTCAGAGAAATAAAAACATATAGTTTAGTCATCCTACTTACGGTTCAGGTTCCGCAGTAACAACAGGCATATCTCTTCTCAGTAAAAATCGGTTCTCAGGCACTGGAGGAATTTCTTCAGGGCGAACCACAGGTTTTTCCCTTTTAGCATTGGCATCAACTGACCTTTTTTCATTGGTATCACTCCTCTCAGAGTGACTTAGAGAGAACAAATCAAGTCACTGATTAAAATGTATAATGTTTGCATTTCATAATAAAAGCACATAAAATTAGATATTAAAACAGCATAATTAACGATAGCGTACAAGTCTCACTCAAAAGAGTTATGCGATTTTCACAAAGAGAACATATTATCAACCAGATATTAAAAACCCAGAGGCTAACATTTTGAAATTGTTAAATGATCCTAACATTTTTATTTTAAGAGTTCCAGGAAGCTAGGTATTGTGGCTAACATCTGCAAGCCCAGTACTTCAGGGGTCACATGGGAGGATTGCTTGAGGCCAGGAGTCAGAGACCAGCCTGCCCAACACAGCAAAAGACCCTGTCTCTACAAAAACTTTAAAAATTCGCCAGGCACAGTGGTAACTCCTGTACTCCTAGCTACTCAGGAGGCTGAGGCAGAAGTATCTCTTGAGCCCAGGAGGTCGAGGATGCAGTGAGCTAGGATTGTGCCACTGTACTCCATCCAGCCTGGGTAACAGAGCAAGACCCTGTCTCTTAAAAAAAAACACAACAAAAAAACTAACAGTTCTTAGGACTATTTTCACCTGAAAACTGAAAACACACACAATCTTTGAAATGAAATGCCTACACTACCAACTCCTAGATTTGGCAGATTTCAATTTAGATAAAGTTTAAAAAATACCATCCCTTTTCAGTAACAGCTAATACAATTGAGTTTACAGAATTACACATATTCCTCCCTTTCTGGAGAGTGTGTGTTTTTAGGTGAGTACATTGGTGTTTAACACGTACCCTTTTGGGCTCATTACATGTTTATTCCTTGGTTCTTCTGAACTGCTTGCTTCCTTTCGCCTCTTTTTAGAACGTTTAACTTTTGGCCTCCTCTTATGTTTCCTCCTTCTGCTTCTCTCATGTTCAATTTCACTTTCTGAAGATGATTCTGAAGAGGAAGAGGAATTGGAGGAGGAATCCAAGTCTTCTGAATGAGCTGGTTTCTTCCTTTTTTTCTCAAAAACTTTTAAGAAACATTTATAAAAACATTAGTACTAAATTTCAGTGCCTATGCTTCAGAGTAAAAACTATGATTACTGAATATCAAAATACGCTTTATATACAGCGAACAAAAAATGAAATGTAGTTTTTTCAAGTTTATAATAAAATTACTGGCAAGATTGTAAGGTAATTAAGTCCCCTGTCCTTATGAAGTCTAAATTCTAGCTGGGTTAAATAACAAGAAATAGGCCACACCCATAATAAAGGCGGTGGCTCACACCTGTAACCCCTGCATTATGGGAGGCCAAAACAGGCGGATCACTTGAGGTCAGGAGTTTGAGACCAGCCTGGCCAACATGGTGAAACCCAGTCTCTACTAAAAATAATAAAAATTAGCCAGGCATGGTGGTGCATGCCTATAATCCCAGGTACTCCAGAGGCTGAGGCAGGAGAATCACTTGAACCCAGGAGGCGGAGGCTGCAGTTAGATGAGACTGTGCCACTGCACTCCAGCCTGGGCAACAGAGCAAGAGCCTGTCTCGAAATAAATAAAAAGAAAGAATTGCATAATATGACAAATGATAAGTGCTAAGACAGCAAAACAAAGCAGTGTGAAGGGAATAGGGAGATTAGGGATAGTTTAAGATAACATTTGAACAGAGACCTACAGAAGCAAGGGACGACATCATGCAGTTATCTTAATGGAGGGTGTTCCAGTCAAAGAGAACAGGCAGCACAAAGTCCCTGAGTGGCTGGCATGTCTGAACAAAGGTCAATGTGCCTGGAAGGCAATGAATAAGGGAAGAGTTCAGACAGACAGCAGAGAGCTGGACCAGCCAGTGCCTTAGAGACCACTGCAAAGACTTAGGCTTTGGAAGATTGAGAAGGGAGCCCTTCAAGGGTTCTAAGCAGGCATGACATGAATGCAAATTATGGTTCAAAGGGATCACTCTGGTTGCTGTTAAGGACAGACCACAGTGGTCCTAGGACATAAGCAGTAAGACCAGTTAGGAAGCTGCTGCTGCTGACAGAAGGTCATAGGACAGAGGCGAGGCAAACAGTAATCCAGGCACAAAATACTGGTGGTTTGGATCAGGCTGGTGGCAAGGAAAAGGACGAGGAGGTGAGATCTGACGAGATCTGCTGAAAGGTGAAATGTGCAGGGTACGATTCAGAGGCACCAACGGCTATTGTTATACCAGCAGTTCCACTGCCCAAATCCAGTCAGTCTTCAACACTGCTTTACCTGCGTCCTAGCTTCGTTTACTGTCAAAGAAGTTCTTACCATCTTTCACGGAGTCTGTGGCAAGTACCCCGCAGTCAATAACTCGCACATCTGCATATGGTCTGCTTGCAGCATCAGTTTTCAGATTTTCAATTTGTTCGATTACTTCAAAACCAGAAATAACCAGTCCAAAGACGACATGCACCCTGTCAAAATACAAATTCAAGACACAACTGGTCTGATAATTAAGCTATAAACAATAATCAAGACAATTAACTGTAATCAATGACATGTCCACAGACCTGAAAATAAAACCAAACTGTTTGTTGTAAGAAGCAACTAGAAAGGATGAGAACTTGAAATCTGCTTCATAAAAGGAAACAATTATGCAAACTGGGCCTCGGTTTTCTGCCTTTAAAACAATGGTTCTTAACCATTTTAGATAAAGAGTTTGGTAACATTCAGACTTCACTTGTTACTCGGAAACCCTCCTTACAGGGACACTTGAAATTGTGCTGTTTACTATCTGGCCCATTTTGAAAACTTTTGAAAAAAAAAACAAAACAAAACAAAACAAAACTGTATTGCTGAGAAGCCCATCCATGAGGACAGATTAATGACTCCTTCAGTGACATGAGAGCCATGGGGTCTCAAAAAGACTCTATTTTGTGACCCTAAGGAAAAGGCTGGCTGTGAGATTAACCCCAACATCAACTCTGCACTCCCTTGAAGGCTCAACCATGCTCCAATCTGTCTTTATGGCTGGCCACCCAAACACTTCCCCAAGGTAGTAAGAATATAACTCTTACCCATCCAGGTGTGGAGCAGGCTTTGTGGTACTATGTAATAAACATCAACACAAAGATGATGTCAAACACGGTGTGTTCGGGTGAAGAGAGCAGAAAGGTTTAAACACAGCATGTAGAGAACAGAGAAGTAAAGATAAAAAAGATAAGGGAAAAAGTTAAACATGATATACATCTAACCTTAAAGACCCCCAAAACAGCAATAGTAGCCATTTTACTAATTAAAAAAAAAAAACCTCACAGTCATCTCTATTAGACTATATGTACGTATACACAATATATGAAATAGGTTTGACTTATATCCATAAATATTTAGCATGAATACACATAAAAATTAAAGTTACTCTCAAATCTAAAACAAAACAAAATACTTTTAAAAACCCTCAAAATGTATCAGCATAATTAAATAAGAAAAGCACTTCTTATTTGCCCTATGGAAAGAAAATGTGATTAACATTTGCCCCACACGTGTAAAAGTTTTCCTATTTGTGATGTCTCATATTGACTCAGTCTGCATTTTTAGGCAGGCAGACAGAGGTAGGCCTTGGAGCTCTGTTTCCAGAACTTCCTGCCCCCCTTCCTTCACCCAAGGTGAAGCTCTGACACAGCAACTGAAAATGCGATAGGGAGAAAAGCTGCAATTGGCCAACCATTCTGATAGCAAAGTAATGATGGCTAACATTACAGGCATTTTAAATTTCCATGGCCCAGAAAACACCCAACCGGCTTCTTCTACAGTCACCAATGGTCAGACAATCTACAGGGTATATCTGGTTAAGATATTTTGAACCCAAGCTAGTTATTCAAAAGCAGAGAATTAGACTCAGAATTATACACCACAAGCGTCTTGATTTATAAGAATGAGAAATAGATATTTAAGAGATAGAAAACAAATCTGAGAGAGAAAAAAATATCACTAGATGTCAGGCCATGTTAAAGCAGTCAACTGTACTAGAAGCTCCCACATAAATTTTTACATTCATTTTAAAGCAATTTTAAGACATGTGAGTGAACAAAACCCAGTTTTTAACCATAACAATGCTAAAAATCTTTATTGTACAAGGATTTGTAATGCTTATACTTACATTAAGAATATTAAGTTCTGTAAGAGCACTACATAATTTAATTTTTAAAAAGTAAAATGTCAACTTAAGAAGTCCCAGAATTTTAAAAGAAATACTAAGTTTTAAAACCACAAATATCAAATATTCCTTAGAAGAGTGAAAAGTGGAAATTCAGGCTAATGTAATTATAAAAATAAAAACAGGCAGCAAAAAAAAAAAAAAAAAGAAAGAAAGAAAAAGAAAACAAAAACTAATGAATTAGTGAGCCACTAGTGTTTAAACCACTAAACTAGCACCTAGAAACCACTTTGGATGGTAACTTTAAGAGAGAAATGTGCTTTAACTATAAAGCTTTACCAAAGTACACTGAAGACAAGAAATTAGTACAGAAGCTAGACAGTGATTCCATTATATGAAAGATGTACAGAGTACTTATTTATTTATTTGTTTTGAAATGGAGTCTTGCTCTGTTGCCCAGGCTGGAGTGTGATGGCACGATCTTGGCTCACTGCAACCTCTACCTCCCAGGTTCAAGTGATTCTCCTGTGTCAGCCCCCAAGTAGCTGGGATTACAGGCATGCGCCATCACGCCCGGCTAATTTTTATATTTTTAGTAGAGATGGGATTTCACCATGTTGGCCAGGCTGGATCCGCCTGCCTCTGCCTCCCAAAGTGCTAGGATTACAGGCATGAGCTACCACGCCCAGCCAAAAATGCTTTTAAAAAAGTAAAATTTTTCTACAGTGTCTAAGGAATCAGCCCAAATATGTAGAAGTAAAAACAATGTATGGTTTCCTGATGAGACATATCCCTTCTCCTTCCCTGATCCTTTTTCCCATAACTCACAGATCTTGTAGTATTGGGGAAAGCCTACACATTTTTCTAAAACATGAAGAGCCCAATTCATCTTGGCTAATAGAAAGGTTGTAAAAACTACCTTATGGCAAACCTTTGGAGCACACGCTGAAATAAAACATTCCAGAGCAGTGTAGTGATGCAGCAACATACTACTTGAGACTCAATTTAAGGATGGAATAGCTATCATTATGACATTAAAGTTTAGTTTTTAATTCGAATGAAAACTGCCAAGAATAGGCAAACTTGGTCTTTTGTTGTAGTAGCGCAGAAAACAAAGACAGAAACGACTCTTTCTTTCAAGGACAACTCAGGCTGCCCACGGTGCCTAAACCTGATGTGAATGATTTAAGTGCATTACTTGGATCTGCAACTCAAGATACAGAAATGTAAGTCTGTACGTACTTTAATTAGATTAGATTACATATTAAGAATACTAAATATTTAACAAAAAGAAGCCCTCTGGAGTTCTCCACCGATATTCCAGGGGTAGAAATCCCAATGTAAAGCAGGTTTACTGGCACTGGGCTAATACAGGGACGAACAGAGGACATTAGCCAAAGAGGGTTACAAAAGGGTGGGGAGAAAGAATATGCACCGTCTAGACTATTCAATTCTATTCAGAGAGGCAGAGAGCTCATCCCACGAACTCTTACTATTTCAAAACTTTCAATTTAAAAAAAAATTGCATTGATCTTCAAAGGAGCTGTTTAAAGAGCTATGCAATGGTGGCCCATGCTCAGTAAGTGAAGGCCAGAGGCTATCATAAATGTTTAAATTTATATATGCTTATGAAAACATACCTAAAAAAGAGAAAAAACCACAAAGAACATTTCAGATTATAAAACCTTTCAATATGTATGCATTTCCATTTTCTCTTCTACTTAGAGACAGCGATTTCTCAGTTTCCCCAACTCCTGAATCTACTTTAAAAAAACGTGTCCAAGGTATTTAAGCCTTATAAATCCTAGAAATTGACAAGTGTCACTGCTACTCCAAAAACAATCTACAGTTTTATACCATTATCAGAGAAGCTTTTGCCCTTATAAAGAAATGACTAATTCCACACTGAAATGAGAACTAAAACCATACTATAAACTGTAACCCCACTCCCCACCCAGAAGATGTGCAGGAACTTGGCGGAAACAAGCCACTGAAGTTAAAATATAGTTCCCAGGATTAACCATGAAAAATAAAAGGCATTTGTTTTACATGTACTGCTGCTATACAGATAAAGCGAAAGTTTTTTTTCTTAAAATGTTTCAATGCACATAACAATAGAATTAAAGAGATAAAGGCAAAGAAAGAAAGAGAGAGAGCCTTAGAGTAATGAGACATTACCTTTGGAGCGCACGGTGTAACACTCTTTCTGTAAATTTTACACAAAAATGGCAAGAAATAAATTGTAATACACTTTTAAGACAAGACTGAATCTATGTTTTAATATCAATATAACTTTGAAATTAAATATTTTCAAGTTTTATGCAAAGCAAGAAAGCTTTTTTAAATGGAGGGCTCTAAATTTTCTTTCGTACGGGACATTTACATAGAGACGAATTATGCTTAAGAAAAGCACTGTATTGTGGCTGAGTGGGAATCTATTCATATCCTTAATATTAACACTAGAGTGCCAATAATAGCTATTAACATACTACATTTCCTTTCACAAATCCCAGAAATCAGCTAAGACAACATTTTCTCAAGAGAATAGTGTATCTTGAATACACACATAAACATAAAAATCTGAATATCCAGGAGCAGTTACTACCAGTTAAAAGCAAAACTGTCATTAAAAAAACTGAGTTAAGATCATCCAAAACAAAATTTCATGGAACTTTTAACTAATTCATGTCAAATAATTAAAGAACCTTTCATGCTTCTACGTTTGAAACCTTTGTTTGGTAACATATCACACAGACTACTTTCAGGAGTCAATGAAAATGTTTCAACTGTAGTTACTGGTTCAGTGACGTCACATACACGTTGAGTTAAAATCACTGAACATAATAATAACGCAGCATAACTACAATTTTAGCGACCTTCTCAGAGGATAAAAAGGCAAGAGAGATGAAAATGTAAGTGCAGTCAAATCTTAGCCACAATATCTTCTTTTCCTGTCTAATCTCTGATTTTCCCCATTATAAAGAATTTTTTTCAGAGAACACACACACTGACCAATATTTATCTGTGTTTAAACCTAAATAAATCTATTACTACTCAGATCAAAATACTATTATACCATGGACAAAATGCTTTATAAGAGTTCTGAACATAATAAATCTGGAAACATTTAACAATAAGCTTAAATTTATCGTAAAGGCATTGACAACATGAGTAAGTGTCAAAAAAGAACATAACGTTTGAAATAATGTGGAGTTTTCAATGAATGTTGCAAAAAATAATAATAATAATAAGTGACTGTAGATGTAAAGTAGTATGGAAGAGGGAAATAAAGAAAACTGCTGCCCAATTTAGCTTTTAACACGCAGTGCTTTCCCTTCAACTCCTGGAACTATGACGCTGTCATGGAAGAGGCACCAAACTGCACAGAATGATAACACTTGTATAAGGACATGGAAACTAACCAAGCCACTTGACAATGCTCTACCCGTGTGTTCCAAAAGTCACCAAAGTAGAAGTGCCTTCTAAAATTCGGCACTAATGTTAAGATAATACACACCAAACATTACTGAATACAAAATGTCTTCTACATTGCTAGTATATACGTCATATAAACAGTTAAGTTATTAAGCCTGACACTTAATATTCAGCGAATTTGGTTTATGGCTAAGTTTCATGAACATCTTTGCTCACGAAAAATTCTGAGGTTTATGTATGAAGGTATTACCCCCCCAAAAAAGGAAGGAAAAAGCTAGAACTTCTCAGGTTAACACTTACTAGCATTTCTTCTCACATAAATTTATGAATATGTGCGTAGAAAAAGAATTTCTACCCCAAATCTAGTTTTACTACACAAAATGTCAACACAGCTTTACAAACCCCTTAGAACCAACCACTCCTCAACTCTCCTGGCTCCACTACTTTGCAATGATCAGCACTCCTCTCCCATTTAGGTACTTGCAAGGCAGATTCTTAAATGACATCAAATATGTTCTAAAACTTATTTTGTCCCTCCCTGCTCATTGCCCTATTTATGACTGTTACAAAATGCAGCAAACCTGTTTTGTTTAAAGTTCAAAACTGGACTCTTCTATACTATCTTGTTTTCTTACATTGTTATGATTATTAATGAGCACTGACAGTGGCCATTGACAGGAACAGTTCTTGCAAGCTCTGCAGATTTCTACTCTATGGCTGCGCAGACTAAGATGTTCTAACAGCAGCTGATGAAGAGACTTCTGTTGCTCTTGATTCAGGCAAATAAGCTCAATACTTCTTTAAGACATCTTTCAGACTAATGAAAACCAGGCAATTACGGCTGTTTCCATTAGGCAAGACAATGTTTGCACATCAATCAGTCTACACATTCAGAAACTTAGGACTACCCTACAAAACACTTTCTTCCTTTTATATCCAAATTTTCATAACAATGTTTAAAGAACAACTAACTCAAGGTACATGGGAGACTAAAATCAAGGTTTCCTGACAGCTATATTAATGTCCTATCCCAGAAGTTATTTACTACAAAGCTATAAATTATTTAATCTTTTTCATGACTGTTTTATGCAACAGCTTTGTCTTTTTGATTAACGTATATAAAGACAGTCAGAAAATTACAGTCAGAATGAATAAGCTATCACTAACAGTAAAAGGGGAAAGAATGTTTCCCCAAATGTCATTTTGTTTTCCAGCAAAATGCCTGATGCCTCTAATACTTAACTAAAATAAATTCAGAGCAGAGTGGTTAATAAAATTTTGAGCTTCAATATGCTTAAATTTATAGTAAAGGTATTAATACGAATAAATGTGCAGCATTCTTTTGCTAGCTATCACTTTCTTCCAGATTATAAGTAAAATTTCTACAATCTGGACTTTACATGGTTTTTCAAGAATTTAGCATAACCTACAGAATGAAAAGGTTGGACTAGATAATCTCTAAATCCCTTTCCAATCTATGATCTTATAATTCTAGCTTTTATTGGGGTTTCTTCCTATTCTTTAACCTAAAAAATAAATAAGAATACAAAGGACAAAATAAACACCAAATGAACTTGGTAACTTTAGTCCCAAGTCTTTAAATTCCTTCAAAAATGTTCAAAATAAAACCACTGTTTCCTTAGTGATTCACGGGGATAGTGCCATATGTCACTTCTTCCACGTTTCTTGAGCAGTACTATTCCAAAAAAGAATCAAGTTTTCTTCTATATAGGCCCCAAGAGCAAAATCACTATGACAAATATAGTAGTAGAAATGGTTACTGTAAAAATGACAAATAGATGTATAGAAGAAAATCTGATTTTCATCATGTATATAATTGTTCCAGCCAAAGAAAGCAATATATGCAAAATTATGTTGAATAAAAATGACATATGCCTAAGGAAGGGTGAGTTTTTAAATGTGTAAGTAATGAAGACAGAAGTTAATGCACAAAACACAAGAATCCTTGAGGGATGTTTTGCAAATACCCATACTAACAGCACCAAATCTACTCCTTAGGAACTGCAGAGTAACCGATTCATAACAAACTACAAAAACAATTTTGCAAGGATGTATGTATTAGAAATCCTTATTGAGTCTACAAAGCAGGAACTATAAAGACAGTTTTGTTTTTTTTTAATTTTACCACCATTCTTACACTATCATTTCTTTTTCAGATTCCAGAACTGCCACTCAAGGTGCCATATGAGGAGTTGTGATAACAGAGTAAAAGGCAGGAGCCATCCTTCAGAAGCCATCAGCAAGCTCTATGACCATCAGAGCTATTATCTGTGATTACATACATAACCTGAAGATAGTATATTACACTTTTTTACTACCTTCAACTACAAAAGGATTTGGGCTTGTAAAACATAGTTTCAAAGATTTTTCTTTTATCAGCCACCATCTCCATTTTTACCTATCCCTCCAATAAATGCAAGAATATGTTTTATTTTGAAACATGAAAGTTAACTTGATTTTATCCTGCAACTCATGAGAACTGATCTTTCTAGCCAGCATAAAGAAAGTATATAGGCACAAAAGACTTAGAAAAAAAATATGAGGATTAAACACTCAATTACTTCCAAGACTGCTTATTCCTTTCCAAAGAGACTGCAAATCTCTTTCCAGAAGGAAACTTCAAACTGAAAGTAAAAAATTTTCTATTAGAAGTTCACAATGATTTTAGTGCTATCTAAAGTAAGTTAATTTTGAAAGTAAGTGTAAAAATTCTAATTGTAATTTATTGATTTAAAATTTTTTATTTGGCATTCCTCTTCAAAAACAGTAGTCAAATATAAAATTTGGTCATGTAGAAAACAGTAAAGGCCTTTACCAGATATTCCTAGAAAATACTTAAGCAAGTACTAAATAACATAAGATTTTTCTGAAGGGAGAATCTCGTATACTGAATTTTAATTAGTGGATGTTTAAAGATAGCATTTTAAATCAGTGTTAACGCTAACATTTTATGAATAAGCAAATGTATGTGACAGTATCAAGAAGCTGCTGCTACTTGATAAATCAAATTTTCACTGTGCTGATAAAAAAAGGAAATCTAAAAGAAACTTTAGAGCCCTCAAATGGTAGCTTCTTGACCAATGAATCATTATGTTTTTCATGTTCACAGTTCAGATAAGCTTAAAAATGGAAATGGAAAACCTCGACCAAAGAATAAACAATTTTTACATGAAGTTACTATTAAAAGGTTTCTGAAAATATTTCTTTCTACTTTGTACTGGCTCTTAAGAAGGTTAAGAATAGAAAATCACACTATTAAAGAACAGTAATTAATAACTAATCATCTATGGGATCAAAACAAGATAAGAGAACAACTGTTGTAGGTCTTTTACCTATATAATTCTAAGCATAATCATCTTTTATAAGCTTTCCATTTTTAGGACATTCTTAGGAACAGAATGCCCCTTATCTGAACTTTACCAGATCATGTAGAAATATATTTTTCAGATAAATTTAACATTTGAGTTTTGTATGTGAGTAATACACTCCTTTAAAAACAGGGAAGCGCCATTCATACTCATTCATTCAGAAAGATGACAAAGAAAATTTTTTCAATAAATCATTAATAAAATATTTCTCCAACATACATAGCACAACTGAGATTCACTTCTAATCAAAAGCAATGACCCTCCTGCTGGAAAGTTATCTTTCATATTTTATATGATAGAATTATGATAAAAATAGGTTTTGAAGCAGCTTTAGATAAGAATATAACTAAAAGTAGGCCAGGCGTGGTGGCTCGCGCCTGTAATCCAAGCACTTTGGAGGCCAAGGCAGGTGGATCACCTGAGGTCAGGAGTTCAAGACCAGCCTGACCAACATGGTGAACCCTCGTCTTTAAAAAAAAAAAAATATAACTAAAAGTATGCCAAAGGATTTATTTAGAAATTTCAGATGAGAAAAAGGTAGGTTTTGATTGCGCAATGCACATACATGTAAAGATATTTGCTTTTTCAAAAGCAAATTTAGTATTCTTAAGTTTCCTGAGTGACAATCTCATAAATTTTGGTGGAAATGACAGCAACATTGGATTAATTCAATTATGCATGGAGACCTCATAAAACCTGAGTCTTTAAAAATGCTGGCTCAATGGGTCATCTATCTCTATATAACATGAGAAAAATAATAGTATGTCTCTCAAAACTGCCTCAGAGAGCAACAGTAAGAGAAAAACCACCATGCCATGGTCTACTCAAATTGCTCTCCCTGCTGAGGGTGCACGAACTGAATCCTCTACTATGAACAATTTTTACACGTTCAATAGTTTATGTTCAATAGTATTGGTAAAGTAAGCACTCAGATATAACAGGGGCTTAAATATGCCGTCATCTTTTCTGAAGATGACGGCGTATTTTTAAAACAATGTTTAAGTTTTTTAAGTCCCATTCTCCTAATCCAGAATAAATGCTGAATGCTGAGGCAGCTGTTAGACCTTACAAGTTACTAAGACATTAGAAACTAATAGTAAAAAATCAAACTGACAAAATTTTAGCATTTAACTTGGTTTAACTATACCATCTTTCTCATGAACAGCGCTTCTCTGTTTAAGAAAAGCTCATCTCTGAATTATGCCTACTCACATGAAAAACTGGGAACCATTGGTATGTTTCCCTCGATTTGCCATTGACAAAAGGAACGCTCTGTCATGTTTGAGAATAAAGTTTTCATCTGTTTGAAGAAAACACAAATTTGTCAGTCTCCAATTATAAGTCACTTTAAAGTAATGTTCAAGTAATAAATAGAAAGCAAAGGATGAAATTCCTCTTCTGGTCAGTACAGATACTTGACTGAATACTCAGAAAAAAAATTTAAGCTAATCAAATAACAAAAGCATAAAAAGGCCAAAAGATACTAATTAAAGCCTTGGGGAAAAGAACATATATTTAATACTTTATACAAACAGCCTTAGAACAGTCACTTTTTAGTAGTAACATACTTTGGCTAAATGATACTTAAGTTATTAACTTTCAGGGAAAACTAGTAAAATTTTAGAAAAATTTCTAGCTCACTTCCTCCAAATTTCCAATTAGCTTGCCTAACGTACTATACGTGGAAGAAGTTTAATAATCTTCTTAGGTGCTTAATTTTTATATGGTAAATTTATTATTCAACTGAATTGAAGCTAGACTATGAGACCAAAAATAATTATGTTATAGCAAGTTACAGGAACATATCTAAATTATGATTATACTCAATTGTATCACAAAATTTTCTAAGGAAGAAAGTCCTGTGAAAACAAAAATTTAAATAGCAAAATACAATTTTAAGATACAAAAGTATCTGCCACAAGGAACAACCACAAAGTGGCCTAGAGCATTAGTTTTAAATTGCTAAATAATAGAATCAGCTAAATAGCTGTTTCCTACTAGTTCAAAGGAAAAAAAATCTGTGATAAAGATCACTTAGAGTTATTTTAAATCCAGCAGAAATATCCTTGAAAACCAATTTAAATTTCCTTTTAACATTCATACAAACATATCTCCTTCAGAACAAACAGAAACATAGAAAACTTTAAAAAGTGATTACCTTGGGAACAGGCTTCTGAAAAAGAGTAGTAATCCATTTTCCCCCAAAGGAAATATAAAAGACTATTATAACACTGAAGCTATTATAGCGTTAAAATCTAGTACTATTAGATCTCATCATAAATCTCTTCAACTGACTTTTCTAAGGCTTTTTGGGGCAAGTGCAACAGTTAGATTTATGCAGATGCTACTATTGTAAGAATAAACACAGTCATAGTTCTAATATACACAAAAGAAAACATACAAACCTTTGAAAAAGGAGGAAATACCAACTTTTATTCAAAGAAATTGCTTGGTTTGGGGGAAAAAAACCCACAACTAGATTCTTTTCCCTGATGTGAAATCAATAACCCATTGAGAAAAAAAAAAAGATACAGATGCATGTATGAAATAATACACAGAATTTTCCAAGTCTTCAAGCAATATAGAAATCCAGCCACAACCTGACCCAGACTGTCCATAAATTTATTAGGAAGGGTGCAAGGGAACAGAATTGGAGTTTGTGTTACTGAACTTTGTTCTCTTACCTTTTCATTTTGCAAAAGACCACATTCTCTATAAACAAAAGAATATGTTGACAGTTTTAGGCAGGAAGATAGGAGTTTTCATGTATATAGTTGCCTAACCTCCATGCTGAAAGTCATGTTTAACCATAAAGTTAGCCTTAATTAATGTTGTCAATTAAAAATTATATATTCCAATATATTTATCCCCAAATTCATGCAAATAAAGTATTTTCATGCAGCATTAGTTTCATGCAAAAAGTGAACTATAAGTAAACCTCTTCTCATTAAAAGTATATGATCAAACTTGCTTTAATATCAGAACTGAAACAAAAGACCATAAAATATTAAGCCTTACCTTTAAAATATCCACCATAAATTGATTCTCCACCTTTTCCATTACCTGCAAATAATGAGCTACATTAAGCCATAATGAACATTAAAAATATACTAACACATAAATCATTTTTGATGGCTTCAATTTTCTGAAGGAAACCTTGGAACGTTATAATTGCTGTAGTAATCAAAATTTGCAGAATCCTCAATTAACTTCATCTTTAAAACGTGTCAAATCCTATTACAATAAATACTATCAAAAAAGCGATCTTCACAACCCACTTATTTCAAACAGTGATGACACCAAAACATTCTAGAACAAAAGCAATCAGACAGTACTTTGGCATTCATTGTCAAGGAATTCACTAAGTAACTTTAGTATTACTAAAACAAACTGCATAAAAACAAGATAAAATGTCTTACGTGGTACTTGCTTTTTCATACATTTTGGATCTATAACACTCATCCAACAACTAACTATTCACTGACCACATTTTACATCATACTGTAACTGACACAGTATGTACAACTAAAAGTAATAGTGAGATCATTTGAAAACTGACAGATGGAGTTCTTAGGAACAACTTTTAGCTCTACCTTCACTGAAGTCCCCACCCTGAATCATAAAGTTTTTAACCACACGATGGAACGTAGAACCTTTATAACATAACTTCTTCCCAGTTGTTTTCCCAAGGCCTTTCTCTCCTGGAAAAAAAAAAAAAGATGAAGTTCAATTATACATACATCCTTCCATGGAAAGAACAAACCAATTAATCCTTTGTCAAAGTGTTCCTGTGTGCTGGGCACTGAAAGACATATAAGAAATAGACGACATGACAATTTAACATACATACATGCATGCGAACCAAAATAAATAATACCAAGCAGCATACAAATGTGAAATTGTGTGGTACAGACTCTACATGCTACAGGACATAAGAAGTATTAGACACACTTATTACTCTAGTTAAAGAATCAGACCAGGCACAGTGGCTCATGTCTGTAATCCTAACATTTTGGGAGGCTGAGGTGGGCAGATCACTTGAGGTCAGGAGTTGGAGACCAGCTTGGCCAACATGAAAAACCCTGTCTCTTAAAAAAAAAAAAAATTAATATATAAATATAAAAATATACAAAAATTAGCAGCTGTGGTGACACACGCCTGTATTCCCAGCTATTGTGGGGGCTGAGGCAGGAGAATCACTTGAATCTGGGAGGTGGAGGTTGTAGTGAGCCTCGATGACGCCACTGCACTCCAGCCTGTTTTTGAGACAGAGCCAGACTCCGTCTCAAAAAAAAAAAAAAAAAAAAATCAAGTAGTGGAAAAACTGCATATGTGCATCCAAGTACGGATTTAAAAATTTTAGTGTGTTCTAATTTTAAAGCAACATTATGGATGCTGCCTGCCCCCATGTTTTCTATTTATTTAAAATTTATTGTAAAATTTGGAATGCTGTATTTTTTTTCGAAGTAGTGAAATTCATAAAATTCTACCAAGACAAATCAATTTCAAACGTGTGCTATCATTTTATAAATTAAAATGTACAGGGAAGATTCCATTATATAGATTCTTACTCTCTCTTTCATTTTTGAGATCATTCCTTTCTAATCTCTTTCCCTTAAGAAATGCTTCCCTGATTTCATATAAAAGTCAGTATATAGTAACTTTTTTTTAATTCACAAAATTCATTTCACAGTCCATTATTATTCCAGGAAAATACTCTGTTCAGCAAGGCAAACTGTAAGCCACAGCTTCTCATTAGAAATAATTTAATAATTCACTTACCTGAGCATAGGCAAAGGAAGTTTTTGCATGTTTTTGGACATATGTCTGAGAAGAGCTGAAACATAATGCGACCAACTGAAATAAAACACACAGGGAAAAACATAGTAAGCAAGTTAAATATATCGCATTTAAATGAGAGAAAAAAAATAGGGTGAACAAATTAGAAAGTCTATTTTGTAATTCACTTTAATCTTTCAAAAGATATAACGGGAAAGCATTTAATTGGGTGATACCTATGAAGAAGACCACCACTTTGTTATTCTTAAAATTTACATTCAGGCCGGGCGCGGTGGCTCACGCCTGTAATCCCAGCACTTTGGGAGGCCGAGGCAGGTGGATCACGAGGTCAAGAGATCAAGACCATCCTCGTCAACATGGTGAAACCCCGTCTCTACTAAAACTACAAAAAATTAGCTGGGCATGGTGGCGCGTGCCTGTAGTCCCAGCTACTCAGGAGGCTGAGGCAGGAGAATTGCTTGAACCCAGGAGGCGGAGGTTGCGGTGAGCCGAGATCGTGCCATTGCACTCCAGCCTGGGTAACAGGAGTGAAACTCCGTCTCTAAAAAAAAAAAAAAAAAAAAAATTTACATTCAGCCAAAGTGTTTCCAGCCCCAAATTTATAGGATTTTAAGTGTGTTTTACAGGAACTTTATATTATTAGATTCCTTGTAGTGCTGTCCCCTGTCAGAACTATGAATCTTCTTTAAAAATACTCTCAATAGTTGTGTGAGATATGCTTGAGCCCTTCCAGTGATGAGAGTATATCAAAAGATAGTCATTCTGGCAAGTATTGTTAAAAAGAAAGGTTTCTTCCTTTAAGCACGAACTGTTAAGAGCCACCTTTCTGAATTGCACCAATTACACTTAAAACTCACATTTTAAGCCGGACATGGTGGCTCATACCTATAATCCCAGCACTTTGGGAGGCAAAGGCCAGGAAGATTACTCAAGGTCAGGAGTTTGAGACCAGCCTGGGCAACACAGAAAGACCCCGTCTCTACAAAAAATTTTAAAAATTAGCTGAGCATGGTGGCACATGCCTGTAGTCCCAGCTATTGGGGAGGCTGAGGCAGGGGGTTCACTTGAGTCTAGGACTTCAAGGCTGCAATGAGCCATGATTGTGCAGTGAGCTTTGATTGTGCCACTGGACTCGAGCCTAGGTGACAGAGCAAGACTCTTAAAACACCACCTCATATTCTATTCCCTGAGAGAGGAAAAAGAGAAGAGGTTATGGTTCCCTACAACATACATGAAATTAAAAGGAACAAGTCTGCAACTTCAATTTAACTATGCCAGAGAGAAATGGTTCTCAAACTGTGGTCTCAGGACTCTTTTAATCTCGTTATTGGACTTTTGTTTATATGGTTCATATCTATTGCTATATACTATATTAATGTCAAAACTCAGAAATGTTTAAAACACAAGAATATACAAGCAGACGTTCCATTAGCTGTCAGAGAAGTGATATCATTACACATTAATATATAATCTCTGGAAAACTTGACCGTATAGTCACGAGAGAAAGAGAGCACAAAAGGCAAATCAAAATCTTAGTATTATTATAAAAATAGTTTTGACATTATGGATCTGTTGAAAGCACATCAATAAAATAAGAAATGTAGTTCTGATTTGCAATTAATTACTCTCTTGAGTTCCTTTTCCCTATATTCTACAAGCTCTTTTCCATTATAAACATTTTTATTTATTCAAAAGGACTTACAGAATAAATAAAATTAACTGTGGACCATGCATAAATCATGTTCAGAACAGATACAAAATGATTCTATGTATCACTAAGATTTTAATTTATTCCTGGCCATATCAGTCAGTTCCTCTGAGGAAGAAACAATGACACTGCATTATAGACATCGTTAATGGGTAAAGCAGTATCATGTGAGAAGAACTTCCTGTGTCAACACTCTTGGCCTATAGCTTTAAAATAGCCAAACTGTAAAGCAATTTCAAAACTTTGTAGGTGACATTAAAACCTAAAGGAATGAAGAAAAAGACGAAAGAAAGCAAAAAGAAGGACAAGACTTTCAAGTAGGGAGCAATGTATCTAAGTTCATTTCAGAATTAAATACCTATAATATCAGTAACTATCACTGTTTGTATTTATATGGAAACATTTTACCTGTATAATAAATATATTTTCATCAGTCCTCAAAAATCCCTTGGAAATGGCTTAGGTGGTGTCAAGTTCAAAATCAACCAGCTCTGCATACCAGAACAGAGACTTAGATCTTTGCAATCCCTGTAAGATGGCTACTTTTCAGGATAAAAGACATAATCAAAATGTAGGCCTTTTCTTTAGGATCATAGTGACTTCAACTCAACCTGTTGCTGAAGTTACTATGTTGCTGTTGCTGTTGTTTTCAAAAACTCCTAATGCCACAAAATAAAAGCCGGTCAAAGTTTCAAATGCTTTTAGTTCCTCCTTAACAGAGGATTAGAAATTGTGTACCCTCCAGCAGTAGAATACACTTGAAAACAGTAGAAATGTGATTACATTACTATCCAATATTTGGAGGAGAACAGCAAACTAAAGTGGCTTTAAAAAAAAAAAAGTCTTGGCCAGGCACAGTGGCTCACACCTGTAATCCCAACACTTTGGGAAGCCGAGGTGGGCCAATCACCTGAGGTCGTGAGTTTGACACCAGCCTGGCCAACATGGTGAAACCCCGTCTCTACAAAAAATACAAAAATTAGCCGGGCACAGTGGCAGGCACCTGTGATCCCAGCTATTCAGGAGGCTGAGGCAGGAGAATCGCTTGAACCCAGGAGACCGAGGTTGCAGTGAGCGGACATCATGCCACTGCACTCCAGTTTGGGTGACACAGCAAGACTCCATCTCAAAAACAAAACAAAACAAAACACACACAAAAAAAACTCACCTCTAATATCTTACCCTCTTCTAGCTTGGTACAGAAAAGAAACAATTTCTTTTGCCCTCTTAACCTCATGGGACAAGGGATAGAGCAGAGGTTTTATCTCCTCTGTGGCATTAAGTTAAGAGCAAAAGAAAAAAATAGAACAAAACTGAATTGTTTTGGCCTCAATAACGTAGTACAAGGTTAAACACTGGCACATCAGAAAAATAATCTTAAAATCCTGAAAAGAACACATTAACCCAATCAGGTTTGCAAGGTATGACAAAAGCTAAACTATGGATATTCAGACATTAGTTGAGTCTACTTTCCTAAGTTAAAATGTTTGTATGTATGCAATTTGAAGGGTTTAAAAACAAAAAGCAAAGTCAAAACAAACAACAACAACAACAAAAACAGGAATTATGATTTCTACCTATAAAGAGGTAACCTAGTATTCCCTTCAAACTAAAATCCTGAGATTGAACATTACAGGATACAGATCCGCAAATACTAACTTGAAGCTCATTGGCAAGATTAACAAGTTTTCAACACATTTTAAATTGAATTGTATTATTTTACAAAAAACAGGATACCATGTGATGATTCTTTTATTTTGAAACTCAGACAATATTCTAAAGATATAGTCTTTAAAGAAAAAAGCCAATGTGGTTCACTAGTCTAGTTATTAAATATTTTCAGTGATGGCAAGCATAAACTATGATTACAAAACATATTGAAAATAAAAAAATTAAACTGTAGTTACAATAAAGAAAAGACTTGGAATGAATTTGCAGAAGACTCTCTGGCTCCCAAGCTGATGAGAAAAATGAATGTGACAGTAACCCCATCTCTGTAAAGAGTTAAGAACCCCTGCTGATGATGACTCTTTGGAAACTAATTGTTGCTGCTGAATGAATGAATAAGATCTAAGAAAAATTTGTTACTCAACAAATACTACTTATAATCTGGTGAAATTTAGTAATCTTTTAGAATCAGTCGATGCTGGCTGGGCATGCCTATAATACCAGTGCCATGGGAGGCAGAGGCCAGAGAATCTCTTGAAACTAGGAGCTCAATAATCAGTCAATACTATTGATAATATTCTTATATATAGTCTTCCTCCACAGAATTAACGTTATGCCAATAAAAACACAGCTCTGTAATGGTAAGACTAAAATCTGTTAGTGTAAACATTAGTATGTTGCTTTTATACACAACTAAGGGCAAAAATTACACAAAGTAGGACAAGTTTCTAAATTTAATCTGAAAATACCAACATGTAGATCCTTAAAAACAAGACAGGGGAACAATATTAAGATTAATCAGGCAATATTGACACATGTCAAGCTTTGGCTACAGACAGGAAAAGCCAAGACATGTCTGTGTCATGTTGGAGATCCTGATTTGCTCACTAGGTGAAAGGAATAAAATCAGCAAGTACACAAATGGAATAAAATCAAACACCATCTTTGAATACTGTTCCTCGTTCTCAGAAATAGTTGCAATGGAACTGCAGATACAATGGTTTAAAAAGGAGACATGATGTATTATGTACAAAGAAGATATGGCAGTTGGAAAAGTGAGCATCAATTAGAAAACTGCTGCAGGAGTTGACATACTACAGAAGGCAAAGAATAGCCCACAGAAAAATTAATTACCAGCAAGGGGTGAGGAAAAGGGCAAAGGTTAAGAACAGATCACATTAGGTAGGCAGAGAGCAAAATCTAGGGAGAAGATTGAGAAAAAGGAGCAGCATTTCAATAAAATCGGGGCATTTACTCAAATATTATCTACTGCGATCTTACCCATATGTCAGAGAATCCAACAGTGTTATATACTGTTGTGCCTGAGTTTCAAGAAGCTCACATCTTGGCTGGGAATGACACATGGAAATGCAGTTGCTATACAGTATGAAGAGCCATTGGTAAGGACACTTATATATATAAACTAGGTCTGACTGATGTGTGTGAACACACAGAGGTAGGGACTATGGCTACTTTACTTACCATTATATCACCAGAGACTTGTGTAGTGCCTGGTACACAGGTGTTCAATAAATATTTAATAATAATATTCAAAATTATTCAAAGACAGATTTACAAAATATGCTTTCATAAATGAATACCCAAATATACAGATCAAAATTATTCACTATGTGCCAGAATAAGTTATGTAAGTGGACCACCACCAAGATATCAATTAATA